GAGCGGAGACAGGGTGGCAGTCAGGTGCCTGTCCCAGTGCAGCGGAGGGGCCCGCAGGCAGGTCAGCACCCCATCTGCTGGTCCCCCTCGCTCAGCACTCGCCACGTCAGCAGGCACTGCTTCCAGTGCTTCACGTGTGTCAACACATAAGATGCTCCTAACAACAGTACCTACACTCCACGCTGTAGGTACTGCGACCCGGGGTCCCAGGAGGAATCTGCAGCACAGAGAGCTGTGGCATCTTCCCCTAGAGCACAGTCAGCAGGGGGGAGTCAGGATGCAAACTCGGTCAGTGTGGCCCCCAAGCCCGCACTCTCATATCTGGAGACGTAAGCTGGCCTGCGGCCCAAGACCGCCCTGACCAATGACAGCAGTGATGTTCCCGCAGGAGGCACAGGCTGGGATGCGAGAGCCAGGGTTCCAACCTAGGACCACCTGCAGGGGTCAAGCCCTGGCCTGAGGAGCCGGCTGCCTCTTGAGGGAATCTATCCCTTTGTACAGGCCTAACGTGAGGCTGAGAAGGTGAAACTCCCTCTCCAGAGTCAGAAAGTGGCAGAGCTGGTGAGCCCTGACAGCCCGAGTCCTCACCGTGCCCCCCGTCACTCTGTGATGAGCCCCATCCCAGGGGCGACATCTGCTTGGGACTCAGACATCACTGACCGGGCCAGGCATCATGCTGTCCTCCGTTATTTTGTCCGCCCTCCCGAGACCTTGCTTTTGAAGCACTCCACGGTCTCAGCACCACAAGTCACACATGTGGAGACAACTGATCGAGGCTGCCCCCGGGGCAGATGACGGGGCCAGGATTCAGACACACACATCAGAGTCCAGAGGCCACTCTCTCAATGACATGTAACTGCCAGGATCCTGCCCCAGCAAGGATGCCGGCATGGTCACATGAACAATGCCAGGGAAGCCCAGGGCTAAGAAGGCAGCACCAGAGCCACCTCCCCACCTGGATCCCAGGCTCCAGCCCTCTCCTGCAATATGCCTGAGGGCAAGCAACTCAACTGCTGTCTGCCTTGGTTTCCTCATCTATAAAAGGGGAGTTTGCTCATTCATTCAACAAATTTTTTCTGATCATCAATCTGACAGACGCGGTTTGGGGTATTGAATAGAACCGCAAACAAGAGACAAAAATCCCTGCCTTCAAGGACTTGCTGAGCACGAACTCTGACTACCCGGGCTGTTATTACCACCACCTGAGGCAAAAACCAAGTCTGCAGATTGTAGCAGTCTGCAAACTCGAGACATCCGCTTCCTTATAAATAGTTTTTTTTAAAGGACTACGGGTGAGTTTTTCTTGCGTTCTTAATATTTTCCAAACGAAGACCAAAAAACACTTGGAATAAGAAAACAAAACATAGGGACTTCCCTGGTGGTCCAGTGGGTAAGACTCCGTGCTCCCAATGCAGGGGGCCCGGGTTTGATCCCTGGTCGAGGAACTATATCCCGTATACATGCCACAACTAACTAAGACCTGGCACAGCCAAAATAAATAAATAAATATTTTAAAACAACAACAACAAAAACCTAAACCATACCCCCAGAGCCCTGCTGAAAATAGCTATTAGGTTCCAGACACAGCTACGGATAGCACTTAAAGCCCAAGGGCCAAATCCCACACAGCACCTGTTTTTGTAAATAACATTTGATTGGAACCCTGTCCTGCTCACTTGTTTACTTATCCCCTATGGCTTCTGGTTTTAAAAGAAATGAAGAGGGAGTTCCCTGGTGGCCTAGTCGTTAGGATTCTGGGCTTTCACTGTTGAGGCCCGGTTCAATCCCTGGTTGGGGAACTGAGATCCCACAAGCCATGCGGTGTGGCCAAAAAATTAATAATAATAATAAATAAATAAACAAATAAAATTTTAAAAAATAATAAAAGAAATGAAAATACTTTTGTGGGCCCCTAAGAGTGTGGCGGCCCCCTAAGAGCGTGGTAGGCCCCAGGCACCATGTCCCCTGAGCCTAAAGGATAAGTAAGTCACCCCAGGTCTGTGAGAAAAAAGAAAGGACAAGGATGGGACTTCCCTGGTGGCGCAGTGGTTAAGAATCCTCCTGCCAATGCAGGGGACACGGGTTCGAGCCCTGGTCCAGGAAGATCCCACACGCCACGGAGCAACTAAGCCCGTGCACCACAGCTACTGAGCTTGCGCTCTAGAGCCCGTGAGCCACAATTACTGAAGCCCACGGGCCTAGAGCCGGTGCTCCGCCAACAGGAGAAGCCACCACTGCTGTGAAGAGTGGCCCCCTGCTTGCCACAGCTAGAGAAAGCCCACGCGCAGCACCGAAGACCCGACAGCCAAAAATACATAAAGTTAAATCTTAAAAAAAAGAAAAGGACAAGGAAAACGTGAACTGGTTCAGAGGGTGTGCAAGCCTCTGGCAGAACAGTTGCTCGTAGCTGACCTTCTGCTACGCCTTCCTCTCCCCTCCACCCCTCCCCAGATATTACGTAGGCAGAAGGGAAGTCTAAACCCAGAGCTCTCATCAGGGCCCCGGGGGATCTGCAGCAGCATCACTGGGGAGTCAGTTAGAAATGCAGATTCCCGGGCACTAACAACTCCAGGCCTGCTGCATCAGAAACCCTGGGGATGGGCCTAGTGACCTGTGGATTAACAAGTCCTCCGTGGTGATTCTGATGCCCTTTCGAGTTTGAGACCCTCTGCTCTACACTGCTCAGGGGCTTACCACCGTGTGCGGCGGGGCTAGGGAGCAGACTCTCCCTCGGGCAGGTGCACATTGCAGAAGTCAAAAACTTGCACTTTACACACAGAAGGCCCCGGGCTCAGGGCCACCACTAAGCAACTGGTTGTGCCACCTCGAGCAAGAGACTTCCCTCTTTCAGACTTTTCTCTTCCTGGAGTTAGAGACGCTGACAGTCCCCCGTCCTGGGGAGACGAATTCCTAACGCAGTTACACTGATATTCAGAAGCCCCGGACGCACGCTAACTGCTCCCACATGGTAGCTCTCACGCCAGTTTTAACTTTAATTACATCTGCACGTACATACAGCCTTTACCAAAGTCTAACAGGAGAAAGACATGACAGTACAGATTTTGTCTAAATGACGTACTCAGCACCGCTACTACTACCAACAACAGCCAACGCTCACGCAACGCCGAGGCTGACTGCCTGCCAACTCAGCCCTGGTCCCACATACCCGTTTTGCCCGTCCTCCAGGCCCTGACACGGGGCAGCAGGCTGGGTACAGGAAGGGGGACTGGATCCCTGTCCCCAATTCGGACCTCGGCCACCAGCTCCAGCATGTCCTCGCTTCTGCAAGACAGGGGGTGAGTGAGCCTCAGAGGTGCGTCCAACTCCCACGCCGGGGGCCTCTCCCACTCCAGCTGCCCAGATACTCACTCGCCAGGCCGCAGGTCCAGGTGGCTGGGAACCCAGGTATCTGGGGGATCCAGGATGCTCACCAGCCCCGCGAGGAGGCCATCGGCAGCCACGTCCAACACCTGGAATAGGCCAGGAGGGGCTCCACCCTGTCCCTGCTGTGTGAGGGCCCACACAGGCCCTAAGCTCTCAGTAACCCAGACATCTGAGACCCCATGAGAACACGAGGATCCAACTGACTCCTCAACTTGACTGCCTCCAGGACCCAAGGGACCAGGCCTCAGAGCCTCCAACACTGCCCCCAATCAGCACCCCAGACCCAGGAGCCTGGGTCCCCAACTCCATTTCCCCATTTCAGGGATCCAGGCCCCAGTGACCTTCCTCCCCCAGCCCCAGAAGTCCAGGTCCCTAGCCCCCTCTTCTTACTCACAGAAGCCGTGTCAGTCCCCCCTGATTCCTGGGAACGGGGCTCTGAACGTGGGCTCCGACAGCGCCTCCATCGAAGGCCATGACACCGAGAAACATCTGGAGAGAGATTTGCATGGGGGATTGGAGACAGGGGACTAGTTGCAGAGACCTTGCTTGGCAGAGGAAAAAGAGCCTGCCTAGCTCTTGACAAAGGAACGAAGCTCCTGCTTACTCTCCCGGCCTCCATCCAACCGCCTGCCAACCTGGGTTCCAGAAGGACTTCCCAACACCCTTTTGAGGCACCAACTCTCTCAACTCTCTCATTTGTCCTCCCAGCCACCCTCAGGATGAAGTCCAGACAAGTCAGCTTGGCCTTTAAGCCTTGCTGTGACCCAGTCCCCACAGAGCGATCCTGCTTCCCTTCCCACCAACATCCTCTGCCCACCAGCCCCAAAGACCCACAACTCGGTCCAGCAACGTGGTCCCTTGCTATGTGCCTGCTGGTGCCGCCCCCACCTATCAGGCTTTCCTCTTCACCAGACAATGCTCATACAGCCTTAGAGACACAGGTCCCCTGTCACCTCCTCACTGAAGCCTTCCTGGACCCCATCTCCCTCCACACCAGCTTAGCTGGGCCTCCTGCCCTCTCACGGTGCCTCGGGCTACCTCTGTGCTGGGACTGTGTCTCCCCTCTGCCAGACTGTGAGCCCCTCCAAGACGGCCACGGAGTCCAACCCATCTTGGGCTCCCTGTGCCAGCACAAGGGTGGCACCCAGGAGGCCTCGGGAAAGCGTATATGAATGAGATTAGGAGAAAGAATGCAGAGATGGGGCAGGGGGCTGGGAAGAACCAGAAGCTGTCATACCTTTATCATTTGGCAGGTCCCCCTGCAGGGAACTTCCCACAGCCTGCTGAATGGCCCGCTGAAGGAAAGGTGAGGGTGAAGGGGGTGGAAAGAAAGAGCAGTCAGGGGATGCATGCGGAAGGTCACAAGCTCTGCTGCTGGGAGACAGCCATTCCAGACACCCCTACAACCAGACTCAAACCCTACAGACAGGCCAAGAGTCCTGGCCCCCCAACCCCTCCTTTCCCAAGGGTCCAGGACTCAGGGCCCTGGAATCTGGACTCCCGGCCCCTCCCTCCCTCGGCCCCAGGCGTCTGGCTGCCTCACCAAGATAAAAGCAGAAGGAGAAAGCGTAGGGTCTCTGTCTGGCGGACCGTCACCCCGATCCTCGCCTGACTCCTCTGTCTTCCCTCGAGACTCATCTTCTTCCTCCATGGTCACCTGGTGGTGGAGGCGGGGGAGAGTCTGGAGTAGAGGCTGGTGGGCAGGGCACGGTGGTGCCAGGTGGCGGAAGGAGAGGACGGACATGAAGACCTCAGGGGCCTCCAACACTGTCTCCCCTTCAGCATCCCTCCTCCACCGCATCCCAGGCCCGGGCAAGTACCAGGCCCAGTGCAGACACTAGAGGGACTAGAGCAACCCTCTTCCCTTGTCTGAATTGGTTGCCTCCTCTGCCAAAGGGAGGCCTTCCCGGCCTATTTCCACACACCCCTCCCCAGTTCCCGCACCTTCCCCCACAACCAAACTTTAAGACCTCATGGGAGCCCGCCTTCACAGGAGCCAAGACTCTTTTCTGTTGAGTTGTGATTTCAAACACTGTGTCCCGAAGTCTCATAAACCCACCTTTCCCAAACCGAGATACGTGCCAGTGTGCTGGGTGTGCCTCAAACACCACGCCACTTCCTAAAGCATCGATTCTCCTCGATGGTGAGGGACCCAACAAAATGTATTTACACACAGAAGATGGAACTATAATAGAATGAGCTACAAAACCAGTACACCACTTTGAAAACGAAAACATGAACTTCAGGAATGCTGTCCACTAGATGCCGCAGGGAGCACCCTCCCATCACCTGTCTGCCCCTTGTGTGAAAGCGCGGCTCAAGGCTTTGCCATGTCACAGAAATTCTTAGGTTATACAGAAGGTGAAAAATCACTCTTCAGACTGATGGGGGTCTTGATTAGGGCTTCAGAAAATGCGAAGATTTCAGCTATAGGCTTCCCTGCAACTGTCAAATCTCCTACTCTGAAGACAATAAATATCTGGTCCCACAGTTCCTAGAAAGCTTCAAAACCCCTAACCCTCAACGCCGTGTGCTTAGCTCTAAGTGGGCCCAATAGGAGTATCTAAGTCAGAGAAAGTCTGTGAGAATTGAAAGGAGACAGACTCCTGACACAGAGTAACAATACAGGGTAACAATAATTATCATCGGCTACATACAGAGTAACAATATTTTTTGCGGTACGCGGGCCTCTCACTGTTGTGGCCTCTCCCGTTTCGGAGCACAGGCTCGGGATGCGCAGGCTCAGCGGCCATGGCTCACGGGCCCAGCCGCTTCGCGGCATGTGGGATCTTCCCGGACCGGGGCACGAACCCGTGTCCCCTGCATCGGTAGGCAGACTCTCAACCACTGCGCCACCAGGGAAGCCCTATCATCGGCCTTTAACGCCCAGGTTTCCCCTACTTCGGTCTCCCCTACACCCTCGGTTGCATACCTGCCAAAAAAAAAAAAAAAAAAAAAAATCTCGGCCCTGGTCTCCCTTGTACCAGATGTTCAGAAAGCTCTCCCATGCTGCCTCCTGGCTCTTTAAGAGCCGGCAGTTCCTTCCCGAACTCCCATAGACAACTCTCACCCTGATAAACCCCTCTGGACAGTTCCCAGCCCTGGCGCTGCTCTTTGGCACCTGGGTGGGGGTGGGGGGAGCACACGCTATGTAGAACAGCGTCTGTCACATAAGAGAAACTTAATCAAGATGTGCTGACTACAGACAGACCCACAGAGCCCCAAACCCTCTGTAGAATGAACATCCTCCCTTGCCCATTCACACATGCTCCAGGATTTGCAGACACACCCCCGGCTCCTTAGGTCTTTTAGACCTGAGAAGCCTCTGCAGACGCTGCTAGGTCCCTCTAGATCAGTTTCCCAAACTATAGACTTGATAGCAGTTCAGTGCTTTACAAATAGCTTGTTATCAAAGCAAATCGAACACAGTAGAAGATTCTTCACAATACATCACAAGTAAATGGAAATACTAATTAATGGGACTTGGGTATGAAATTCATATGACGGTGTACACTGGGTCTCAATGAAAAAATGTATTTCTCACTGTAGATCAAGGTCAAAAGAGTTTGAAAAGCACAGCACTAGATGAGTCTAGACGATCCTATAGACTTTCCCAGACCAAGGAGGACTGATTCTGTCTCCATAGCCCCAGGGCCACGCAGAATTTTTCAACATTGTGCATTTGAATTACTTTCTAAGGGTAAGTACAATACAGCTGGGCAAATCTTCCAATACTCTTCATTGTCTTATTCTCCATGCAATTATATGGCCCCCCCAAAGGCATTCGAATTTGCAGTCACACTCAAGGCCACCTAGATGGTTCCAGGTCCTTCTAACTGCCCCCAGCCTCCTGTCACCCAGACTAGACACTACCCAGACAGCTGGAGACGCATCCAGGCCTCTCAGAACATCTCAGTATTTGCCTCTCTCCCTTCGTGGGTACATCCTGCTCCTCTGGGTAGCTATAAAAGACTTCCTAGCCCTGGAACAGTTCTTCCAGGCCCAGCTATATGGCCCCAGACCCCTGTAGGTGAGCCGCATCCTCAGGTCAGCACATGTAGACACTTCCCAGCCCTAACAGACATACCCTAGGCGCTATGGTTGGCTCTGCAGATACTCCCCAGCTCTTGCAGATCACCTTCACCCCGGGACATATCTCAAGATCTCAAGATGGCCCCAGAACCCTCTAGACAGACCCTAGCCTCCGGTCAGCTCATAAAGACGATCAACAGTGCCTACAAAAATGACCCAAGCCAACTATATGATGGAAGGCAGGCTTCAGTCTCAGTCCAGGCCCTGTGGACGCCCCCAATCCTCTCGGGGACGCCCCGTAGATGCCCCCCGGCACCACAGACGCGTCCCGGGGCCTTCAGAAGGCCCCCCGCTCGGCGCCAGGCGCCGCCGCCGCTACCAGGCCCAAGGCCGACCCGCTAAGCCCTCTAGGCCCTGCGGCGTGCCGGGAGGACCCCGGGACAACTAGCGACCCGACTCCGCCCCGCCCACCCCGATAGGCCCGAGCCCCGCGGCCCGGACCGCCGCCGCCATCTTACCCCGCCGCTCGGGCTGCGGCTCCGGCCCCGGCGCGGGGCGGGGCGGGCTGGGGCGGGGCTCGCGAGCACAGGGAGGAGAGGGGTGGAGCTAAAACACCGCCGAGCTTGCCGGGACTTCAAGTGTCGAGTACGGTGCCGTGAAGGCTGGTGGGAAGACTCCGGACTCAGTTTCCCAGCAACCAATAGGACACATAGGCCGGGTGCGCGCGACGCACGCCGGGAGGCGTAGTCCGCGCGTCGCCTCCGCCGCGCGGGGATAGCAAGCGGGGTGAGGGGTGAAGTGGGCGGGGTTGCGGTAGGCCGCGATTAGGCCCCAAAGTACCCAGCACGCGCGCGGAAAGAGCGGCGGAAAAGGAAGTGACGGAAAGAGCGGTCAGCGTGACAGATGCGAGGGAGTTGTAGTTCCGCGGAGTGGGCCGTAGGGAAAAAAAAAAAAAACAACACAGGACAGGCTGGGAGTTGCCCCGCCCACATTCTAGGGATCCCAGAATCCCGATACGAATTTCTCTCTAAATTTAGAACCAAGGAGCGCAGCCCTACAGCATCCTCCTCATTTAGGACAGAAAAAGTCCAAATTCCGATTCCTCTCACTCAGAACAGAGGAGTCCGGACTCACATTTCCCTCCTCCCTGGGACTCAGAAGCCGAGCCCTCCTCCTTCGTGTTAAATCCAGGAGTCGGGCCCTCAAGCCATCCTCAGACCATTCCTGGTCTCAAGCAACTACCTTACACTAACCCGAGTGTTCGGGTTCCCCATCCTAACTCCCTCGGATCCAGAATTTTGGGTCCCCAGCCCCTCCAACCTCTGGATCCAAGAGTCTGGGCCCTCAGCTTCCCTCCTTTACCGAACCTAGTAGTAAGGACCCCCAGGTCCCCTCCTTCTGGGGACCCAGGAGTCCAAGCCCCCAGCCCTATTCTCTCCTAGGTACTCCTAGGGGTCTGGGCTCTCAGCTTCCTCCTCCTTCAAGACCCAGAAATCCTGATCCTAGACCAGGCATAATCCAGGCATCCCGGCTTGGGCGAACTGGCTCATGGATTAGGAATGCAGTGATCTCACGGCCCCTCCCTGCCCAGTTACCCGCTGTCCCCCCTCCAGGGCCCCATCTTCCCTCCCAGTCTGTCTTCCGCTTGGCTGGGACAGCGGGAACCGGAAGCCTGGGTCCCTTAGCGGGCGGAGCCTGCAGCATCTAGCCCAGACGCCCGGGTCGGGAGCTTGGCTAGGATCCCAGGACGGAGGTTGAGCTACCCCTCAGGACTTGCTGCTTTCTCGGAGCGCGCCTATATACGGCCGCGCGCGAGTCCGCGAGCTCCGCCTACTGGAACAAGGCCTCGGAGATGGTGCCCTGAGAAACTGCATCACGGGGTTCCTCATTTGCATAGCCCCATCCCGAGCTATCTTCCCGACCCATCGGGAAGAGAGAATGAGATATTATTAGCATATCCCCGCCCCCAGACGGCCGGCCAGCCGAGAGCGCGTGGCGCCGCTCGGGGTGAGCCCAGTTCTCTTATTAGCGTGTCCCCGCCCCATTTGGAATTCCCCTTCTCAGCGAACGCCGTTCCCCTACTCTTATTATCATAGCTCCTCCTTTTCCCTGGCCTTGCCTCCTTCTTAAGTGTCCCGAGATACTAGCCCTTCTTGCTGGAGTTCATGATTATGCAGTAGCCTTATTAGCGTGGCCCGCCCCTAGGCCCCGCCCGGTTCCCCCCCAGGCGGTAGCGGCGGCAGCGGCAGCGGTGGCGACATGAGCAGCGGGGCGGCGTCCGGGACAGGGCGGGGGCGGCCCCGGGGCGGGGGGCCGGGGCCCGGGGACCCCCCACCCAGCGAGACACACAAGCTGGTGGTCGTGGGCGGCGGCGGCGTGGGCAAGAGCGCGCTGACCATCCAGTTCATCCAGGTAGTGGGCCCTCACCCCGGGGGGGGGTGCCCCCGGGACCCAGAACTGAGCCCTTTGCGGGATCCCTGAGACCCCGGTTTCCCCTCGATCCATCACAGAAGCCCTCCTGTGAGGGCTTCTAATCTTAAAAAAGTCCCCCTCAGATGTGACCCTGAGCCCCTCAGGGCCTCCACCCACTACATGAGGGACATTCCTCCTGTACTTGTATCTTGAGACCCACCACCCCTACCCCCAGAACCCAAGACCCCGCTTCCCTACTGATCTGACCGTGGGTGCCTCCTGGGAGCACTCTAAATCCAGAAGAGTCACCCCATCCAGACCCTAAGCACTCTCATGGGCCCCCACCCCCCTAGGTGCCGCCTCCCCCCAACCTTGAGCACCATCTCCCCCAAATCGCAGACCCAAACTTCCCCTCTGAGCCACCCAGAACCTAACTGAGAGAATGCCTGTGCCCGATGCCCTTGAGATTCCCCCAGTCTGGATGCTTAGCCCCTTCAGGGACCTCCCCCAGAAACTGGAAATTATGCCCAGGCTTTGCCCCTGAGGCCCGTCTAGGACTACCCAGTCCTGAGAGAGGCACCCTCAGACCTGAGAGGTTTCAAAAAGATCCTGCCCCTTGGCCATTCCAGAGAACTCTAAGACCCCAAGTTCTGGGGATCCCCTATCTCACCAGACCCAGACCCCCACCCTTCCCCAAGGAAAACCCACCACTCCTCCATCTTGAGTTTTCCTCAACTCCGATTCCCCGAGCCCCTCTCTGAAACTCTGGCTAGCCCCCAAATCATCTCCATGGAGTAAGTCCCCAGATTCTTGACACCCCTAGAAAGACCTGCTCCTTGGGAGTTTCTCTGATATCTTAAATGCATCTCAGGGTCTTTAAGATTCTCTAGACTCTATAGTCTATTGACAAACCTCCCAAATGCTCCCGAGCCCCCAGTTTTCACCCCTGAGCTTCTCCTGATGTACTTTGCAGATACACCCCTAATCCCCCCAGGGCCAGGTCCCTACACCCTCCCTCACCAAGCACCCCCCCTCCAACAGGCAGGATGCAGCCTGCAGACCCCCAGCTGCCAAGTCACCACTTCTCTCCTGAGAATCCACCCCTGCCCAGGAAACTTCCACCCCATTACCGAGGGAAATCCTCCCACCTCAGAAAAACCCTAGAAAGGTGTTCGTTACTGAGATGCTACCGCAGCCCCCCGCTCAAGAGACCCCAGCCAGCACCTGCAAGGGAGCCCCTGTCTGTGTAAAGAAATGCCCCAGCCCTGGGCCCTTTGCACCCAGGGGCAGACCCAAAGCTGGCCCAAAGCCTGGCTGGAGGCGGGCAGGAAGGGAGGGGCCCGGCCTGCGGGCGGGGCAGCTTCTCCACAGCCGGATTGGAACCGGGACCTTCCCCTGGGAGGAGACACTGGAAGCTGCCCGAAGAGGAGGAGGGGGAGGGGGAGAAGGAGGAGGAGGAAGAAGAAGAAAAAAAAAGAGGGAAGAGAAAGAGGAGGAGGAGGAGGGAGAGCTATAGACAGGCAGGTATTCTGGGCAACAGTGGCTCTCAATAACTGAGCACCTACTATGCCCAGGGGATATATTAAATACTGAACAGGGATTTTCCCTGAATCTCACAAACAGTGGATTAAGCCTAGTGCTATTTTTATCCTCATTTTCCAAATGAGAAAACTGAGGTTCAGAGAGGGGAAGTGATTTGTTCAATGCCACATAGCCAGGATTGTAATCATGATGTGGGAAATGTACTTTATACCAGAAAAACAGGATCAGGAGACAGAGAGAGGAGCCTGGGGAGGGCCATAGGAAGGGACAGAAACCCGGAGAGAGGGAGACAGACTCAAAAGAGGGGAAGAGACCCAGAAGGAGGGGGGCCGAGAAAGTCGGGGCTCAGAGGCAGGGCTACATCACCTCTGCTGGGACACTGCAGTAAAGGTGTCCTCTTCCCACCCCACCAGTCTTACTTCGTGTCTGACTACGACCCCACTATTGAAGACTCCTACACGAAGATCTGCATGGTGGATGGTGTCCCAGCCCGGCTAGACAGTGAGGGCGGCAGGGGAGATGGTGGGAGGGGGAGTGGCAGGGCTGAAGGCTTGGGGGGAGGGGGTGGCTGGAGGGACCCTCGTCCCCACAGAGGCCCCTCTCCCCTCCCTGCAGTTCTGGACACCGCTGGCCAGGAGGAGTTCGGTGCTATGCGGGAGCAGTACATGCGTGCCGGCCATGGCTTCCTGCTGGTGTTTGCCATTAACGACCGGCAGAGGTGAGAGTGATGGGGGGTGGGGAGCAGGAGGGGCGCTGGGGGTGAGCAGCTGTCTGGACCTCTGGCTTCATCCGCAGTTTCAACGAGGTGGGCAAGCTCTTCACGCAGATCCTCCGAGTCAAGGACCGAGATGACTTCCCCATCGTGTTGGTCGGGAACAAGGCAGATCTGGAGACACAGCGCCAGGTCTGGGACACCCACCCCACCCCACGGAACAAGGCAGATCTGGAGACACAGCGCCAGGTCTGGGACCCCCACCCCACCCCACCCCACCCCCCCGCCGCCGCCGACTGGACCCCATCTCAGTCTGGGAGGCTCCTTCTGGTGCACCTCCGGAGACGCATGTCAGGATCCTCCTCTGGCTCCCTCAGTCCATTGTCACACACCCCACTAGACGTGTTGCCCCACCTTGGACCTTCTGAGTCCACAGCGTTGCACACAGGTGTTCTCAGGAGAGGTGGCTGGATGGAAAAAAGGGCACCTCCCCCAGGGTCAACCAGCCCCAATGTTCTGTCCTGTCCCCTCCTCTTGTTCCTACCTGGACCCTGGCCTCAGCCTCCCGTTTCTCCCCCCCCAGTCAACCTCTCACTCTGGCTGCCCCTCCCCTGCTCACAGCTCTCCCATGGCTCCCCAGCACCCCAGCTCTGCCACCTGGCCTTTGATGCCCTCCATGATCCTGTTCTTTCCTTCCTCTGTTCTCACCATTTCCCTATACACACAGACTGTGTGATTTCCACACAGAACTCGTCTTTTCGATTAAGCCTTTGGGGATTTCCACCCTTTGGGACTTTGCCTGGGCCTCTGCTGGGAACACCCTGACTTTTCTCTTTCTCTGACAACTCGGTTGCAGGAGGTCTCTGGAGCCTTCCCTGATTCCGTACTTAGATGGCACCCAGCTAACCCCCTGGGCATCTCCGCCAGGACCTTCCTGGACATTTTCCTCTTCTCTTGGGCCCTCACTGTATGTAACCCCAGTTAGAGCACACAGTGTGTCTTTCTGCCTCCCCCAGCTGGGACCAGCCTTTTGGGCGGCACCAGGCGGCATGTGGAGTCTTAGTTCCCCGACCAGGGATGGAACCTGGGCCCCCTGCATTGGGAGCGAGGAGCCTTAACCACTGGACCACCAGGGAAGTCCCTGGGACCAGCCTTGAAAGCAGGGACCTGACTCCTCCGTGTCCCATGCCCCAGGTCCCCCGATCCGAAGCCTCCACCTTCAGCGCCTCCCACCATGTGGCCTACTTCGAGGCCTCGGCCAAACTGCGCCTCAATGTGGACGAGGCCTTCGAGCAGCTGGTGCGGGCCGTCCGGTGAGCAGCGCGCCCTTGCTGTCGCCCTCCACCACCCACCTCCCTGTGGCCCGAACTCACCAGCCTCTTCCCGCAGGAAGTACCAGGAACAAGAGCTCCCGCCCCGCCCGCCCAGCGCCCCCAGGAAGAAGGACAGGGGCTGCCCCTGCGCCCTCCTGTAGGGACGGGAGAGGAGCGACCGGCACGAGCGCTCGGGACCAGCCGCCCTCGCCGAGCTTCCTTCCCCCTCTAGGTCTCCCAGGAACACTACACTCCCGCCCGTGACTCCTGGCCTCCTCCAGGGGCCATCACCACTGTGTGCCTTCTGCCACTGCCTCCTTCCCCCACCCGAGCCCCAGGGTGAGGGCTCCCGGGCATCCGGGTCACTGCTGTATATAACCCCCCTCCCCCAGAGAAATAAACGTCACTGCCAAGGTCAGGAGGTGCTTTTTAAAAAGGGAAAAGGGCAGGGGAGGTGGGTGAACTCGGGCTGCGCAGACACGCTACAGGCTCTCTCCGCGGACAACCACCCACCGAGAACCATTGGACCCTTTGCTTGGGGAGGGACGGGGGATATACAGAACAAGCCGAGCTAGGCATCTGGACCCCCACTTCCACTCCAACAGCACGACTGCACCCTTTTCTGTTTCTGTGGGCATTTTGTTGGGATGAGGATTAACATTTGAGGAGGACTTCCCTGACAGTCCAGTGGTTAAGACTCGTCGAGGGTTCGATCCCTGGTGGGGAAACTTAAGATTACACACGCAGCCCGAAGCACTAACGTTTGAAAAAAAACATTCCCCTCCCCCCCCCCGGAAAGCTCTAGAACTGCACCTTTCAGTCTGGCAGCCGGAAGCTACATGTGGCTATTTAAATTTAACCTAAATAAAAATTTAAAACTCGGTTCCTGACTCACACTAGCCACATTTCAAGAGCTCAGTATTCACATGTGGCTTAGCAGCTACCCGAATGGGCAGGGGAAATATACAACATTCTCATTATTGCCAAAAGGTCTATGGGACAGTGGTGTTCTAGGAGGTTTTGGGATCTTGGAGACAGGCAGCAACTGCTACAAACCCTGCCCACCTGCTTCCCACCTCCAATGTATATTGAGAAAGACGTTTTGGCTGCAGGAGGGAGAAGGGACAGGTGGGCTGGTGTCCAAGCAGCCGACCGGCAAGTTCTGTTCTAGAAAGTTCTCAGTTGGGCTGACATCTGAGTCTAAACCCTGAATTTAACTGGAGGCCGGTGTGGACGCACCCCATTTGAGACTCTCTCCTGGGGGGGGCCTGAAGTGTAGGGCATCTTAAGGCCACCGCAGATAAGGTGACAACACACTTCAATTTGAAAATCAGGACCCCCAATTCTGTACTCTAGTTGCTAACCTGGAAGGCTGGAGCCGGAACTGGAGACCACCACTCCCCTATCTCCCAGGCCCATCTGACAGGCCACCTTTGAGCTCCAACACCTACTCAACACACCAGGCCAGAAATCTCAACCAAGATGTCCCCGTGCCCTGGAACTCTGGCCTCCACCTTATAACTGTCACCAATCAATGATCTGCTCCCACAGCCCTACATCTGCTCAGTCCCAACAGAATCTCTGGGCCTCGATCCCAAAATATTCCCTTCACACCCACCCCAGAACCCACTTTCTGGTTCTAGGGTAGACAATGACACTGCGTGGCCCCAGCAGCAGGCTGCCTGGGTTCAAATCTGGCGCTGCCCCCTCCCATCTGAGTGCCTTTGGGCGAGTGTGTCTCAGTCTTCTCATCTGTAAAGGGGGGCTGACCACAGAGCCACTTCCCAGAGCCAGAGGCCTTTAGGAACCCAATCTGCAACTAGAGAATGAACGCAGCGCCTGGGACATACTAAGTGCCCAGGAGCAATGACGGAGGCCCCACTGTTCTCCTGCCCCAGAACCATGAATGTCCCTCTGTATTCCAGATTAGAACAATGATTAGCTAAATATCCCTTTCCGGGTTTCATTATCACAGAATCCTTGGCCTGGGTTCAACCTTCCGCCCTGGGAATAAGCGTGGCCCTGGGAATAAGCGTGGCTCAGATACATTGTGCTGCGTGTTCACCCTCCACCCACCGCCCCCAGAAGCTCTGTGCAGTGGGGGCCCTCCCCTGTGGGACGGGGATGTTTTTTATCAGCTCCCAGATAAGATCTGACATCTCTACCTAAGCCTCAGCCAGGGGTGAGGAGCTCTCAACAGGAACCAGCGAGTCCCAGGCCAACTCCTCTCTCCCCAGGGTCCCACCGCTGACATGCCGCAAGCAGGCCTGTCTTTTCTGCATTGTCTAACGGGGCTAAGTTCTTGGCCGGGACACCCCATTTCTCAGAGGACCTAGAGGCACTCTGAGGAGGTGACGAAAGCTACCGCTTGCCCCTAAAAAAGGCACGCATACAAAACCCACATGACAGCTGGCAGGCCATTTTTGGAAGGTTTACAGTCACCATCATGCCAAAGCTCATCAGACAACAGCAAAGAGGCGGGGATGGCCCCGTTGGCATCTCCCTAGGTTATGTGTGCGTCTGTGAGTCTCTGGTTCCTGCCTTCCCCTGGGCCTGGCAGTGCTTGTCAAAATTCCAAGTCTCTTGGGATTTTAATGTCCCTCTCTTTAATCCATCTTTGTCGTCCTCTGCCTCTCCCCGCTCCTGCCATCTCTTGGACCTCCACCAAGCCCCCCAGTGTCTCCTGCTATGGGTAACAGCAGCTAAGCGTTGAACAGCACTTCAAACGAATTGTTTTCCCTTGTCTTGACAAAAGCCCATTTTACAGATGACAAAGCTGACGATGGAAGCTGTTATCCAACTCGTCTGGTCAGTGCTGGAGCTGAGATTCAAATTTGGTAAACTGAATTCCAAAGGCCAACCACAAGGTTATTTTGTCCCCAAAGGGATGATATTGTCCCCACAAGTCACTTTCTGAGCACATTATCCAATTTCTGCCCTGGATCTCTAACCTGGGACAATCCTGGAACCTTTGGCTCCAATATAACATCCCAGTCGAGAGACATGAACATGCCACTCCCTCTCAGAGGATGCATTCGTGATGTGCTACAAGCCAGAGTTCAAGGACGTTAATGACCCATCTTTAACTCTAGAAAGTGAATGGCCCATTATTCACTCTCTTGCGGTCCTCAAATGCTACTATCACTCCTCTGACCTGTAAAACCAGGGCTCTAGAATTGATAACATTGGTTATGGTCTAGCCAATATCCAAGGTTCTAGAACAGGGGTTCTTCCTCAGTTTCACCCAGAAGAGAATCTAGAACGCTGATGATCCACTCCCCCCCTTTTGTTTTTTAATATTTATTTGGTTGCACTGGGTCTTAGTTGTGGCAGGTGAGCTCCTTAGTTGCAACTCACCCGCTCCTTAGTTGTGGCATGCAAACTCTCAGTTGCGGCATGCATGTGGGATCTAGTTCCCTGACCAGGGATCGAACCTGAGCCCCCTGCATTGGGAGTGTGGAGTCTTAAACCACTGCACCACCAGGGAAGTCCCTGATGATCCATCCTTAAATCTCATGTTTGGTCTTTACCTACTGACCAGCCATCTTCAATGCCAAGTCCAGAGTTCAAGAATACCAATGGTGGGCTTCCCTGGTGTCGCAGTGGTTGAGAGTCTGCCTGCCGATGCAGGGGACATGGGTTCGTGCCCCGGTCCGGGAAGATCCCACATGCCGCGGAGCGGCTGGGCCCGTGAGCCATGGCCACTGAGCCTGAGCGTCTGGAGCCTGTGCTCTGCAACGGGAGAGGCCACAACAGTGAGAGGCCCGCGTACCACAAAAAAAAAAAAAAAAAAAAAAAAATACCAATGGTCTATCTTTGAGGATGTGTCCAGACTCCAGAACAACGGCTTACTCAGTACCTTATAGGCTGGGTTCTAGAAGACTGCCAGTTGACCTCCACACTTTTTTTTTTTGACTGCACTGTGCAGCTTGAGGATCTTAGTTTCCCAACCAGGGATTGAACCCAGGCCACTGCAGTGAAAGCACCGAGTCCTAACCACTGGACCACCAGGTAATTCCCAACCTCCAAATTTTTAGCACCCTTATTCTAGAACATTGTTCCTCAAACTTGAATGTATGGTAGAATCCTCCCAGGATTTTATTAAAAAATGGGTTCTGACTCAATAGAGCTGAGAAACAGCCCATGAGTCTACATCTCCACAAGCTCTTCAAGGACTCTAAGAAGGCATGAGAAGACAGAAATCCACATTCAACTCTGCAGGCCGACCTCTAAAATGCCAATCCACTCGTGACCTCGTAGTTTCAGGGTTTGAGAACAGAGACCCACCCTCAAGCCTGTCTCAGGGAGCCAAGAGAAAGCTGCTTAACTCCCAACACCCATCACTGCCTGTACTGGTTTAAAAATACACCCCAAAATTCATATTCTTTTCCCTTCACAAAGCAGACCTTGATTCCCCTCGAGTGTATGCTGGGCTTAATGACCCTCCTCTAATCAAGAGTGTGGCAGAAGCAATGGTGTACAATGGCCGAGATTAGGACATAAAGATTGAGTGGCTGGCTTCCTCCTTGCTCTCTCCCCTCACTCACTCACTCTGGGGGAAGCAGCTGCCATGTCTGGAAGACTCTCAAGCCACCGCCACCCTATGGCGCGGTCCACATGGCAAGGAACTGAGGCCTCCAGCCAACAGCCACATGAGTGAGCCACCTTAAAAGTACATCCTTCAACCCCAGTCAAATCCATGATGACTGCACCCTCACGACTGACCTCAGGCCAGTACCACCCAGCTAACCTGCTCCCAAATTCCTGACCCTCAGAAACCCGATGATGATCAATGTTTGTCGTTTTCAAGTTATTAAGTTTTGGGGTGGGCTGATTTGTTACACAGCAAGACATAATGGATACAATGACCCCAGCCCAACCACATCCCAGGGCTCCAGAAAAGCCACGTGCCAGATCCAGACCTTCTGCCCATGCCACCCCCTGGCCTCCCAACATGCCGCAGGACAGAGGCACTCCAGCCAGCCGATAAAGTGTTTGCCGTCGGGTTTTCGTTTGGCTGGTTGTGTGTACACAGTGTATACAAGTTGAGTTGTACAGAAGCCCAAGAAAGAGCAAGAGACAAAGGGTGGTGGGGAGATGGGAGCAGAGGGGTTAGAGAGAGGGAGGAGCGGAAAAGAGACCGATAAAAAATAGAACCACA